TATGAGCAAACAAACCACCCACATCGACATACATAAGCAAAAAAGTCCAAGGCCATAGGTTGATTTTCCTGTATTTGCTCGACCTTTTACTATATTCGGTCGGCCGCGAAACCAACACTTTTGATCTTCTTTACACTTCAAAGGGGGATGGATAAATGGATAGAACACTTTACTCTTGTATCTGGTCAACCTGTTTTTGTAAATGGTCGACCATTTCGGTAATGATTGTCATCAAGTGGTCGACCTCCTTACGTTTACGGTCCACCATTTTGTTTCTGACAACAATGAAAAGGCCGACCGATATTTTATTGTGGTCGACCTTTAATGTGTCAACTTAACTTAAATTGGTCGAGCGTGAGTTTTCATCAGACTGGCCACCTTAGTATATTAGATCGACCGCAATTAGGAATAGGTCGACCGAAAAGTGCAAGTTACAGTGACTTACAAGGCACCATAGGCGCACCCTAATTATTTTTAGTTCTAATACCAATAAAAATATCAACGATATTCTTATTTATATTATGAAATTTTAATAATTACAGTATTATTTCAAATTATCGAGTGTCACTATCATTTGTGTTACACGAATTTCAGTTGACTGTTAGAGTTAACAATTGACTTAATGGTGGTCAACCTACATATGACCATTGATGACGTGAGACTAAGGGTGTTCAAAAGTGTGGTTATCGTGGTAACTAGTTTAACCAACTGTATTCGGATAATATGGTTTGGTTAATTTGGATAATTGGTTTGGTTTGGTTAAACTTTTTAGCTTGTTTGGTTTAGATGGTTTGGTTTGGTTTCAAACCCTACTAACCCATGAAATCAATTAACCAATTAAGCAATTAGTAATATATTTAACGTATTATATTCATACTTAATACTTTGCATAACCACTTAAGAGTCAATAGTTCCTCCTTTTGGACCCATCAACAAAATAAAACACATTATTGTTCATGTAATATATTTGTTCTTGTTGATTGTGGACAACAGTATATAACATCTAACTTAGATAAATCTCATACATTATATTTGATGAATAGTTGAAAGGGAAAGTTTTTTTACCCTCTAATAATTTCTAAAATACTAAGACAATTCACACAAACACATTCAATTCATTTACCTCATACTATTAGCATATGTTTTTGCTAGGTGGCTATTTCTAATGACTAAAATAATTTTGTTAGGTGCATGTATCTATATCTATCTATCTATCTATATCTTCTATCTATCTATCTATATCTATCTATCTATCTATATCTATCTATACTATATATTATGTCAATTCAAAAACAATCTCTTGCCACATAAGCACTTAGAAGATCCACAATTTGCCAAGTTGGACAAATTTTTTTACAAACAAAAAATTTAGTTTTTAATGTATTTATGGAGCTACCTCTCTCTTCTTTAATATTTCCATTTCTTTTATCAAATTATTCTTTTTCATTTATCCATTTATTCTTTTATTTTTAATTTAATAATAAGTTACATGTTGATAAAATTAACCAAACACACATAAATAATAATTTTTTTGTTCAGTAAAAAATATAAATAAGAAAATAGAGAGTGACATATACCGCATTTGTTTAAATAAAAAATTCCGATTAAACCTGATGAAGAAAATTTTCTACTATTTTTTTCTAAAATTGAATGATAATTTACATTTTGATGAAAAAATTAAACAAACGTATACTTATAAAAATATTTTTATCGATTAAATAAAATATATATGAAAAGTGAAAAAAATAAACATTTAACATTCAATTACCTTTGAAAAATAAACTATATCATTACTTTACTTTATATATATTGGGCAATTCAAAAGCAACCTCTTGCTATATAAGCACTTGGAAGATACACAATTTCCCAAGTTAGATAACTTTTCTACAAACAAAAAAATTAATTATTAACTATATTACTTTATATTTTGTTGCAATGAAACACTCTCTTATTCGTAAATTATTTCTATAAAATAAAACAAGTATTATTTAGCAAAATGTCAGAGTATAATCTTGATTGAGTAATTACAGTTATTTATTTTTAAAAAGACTTCTTATTCATTCAGATAATGTTATACCTTAAATTACTCAAATGAAGAGGAATCACATGTGCAATAATTTGATAATGTGTCATAAGTTCACATTAATAATATTTGCTCTATATCGTGTTGATTGACCAAGTTCTATTGAGGTTCTAAGTTGTGTGCTAAGGAATTTTCTTTCAGATTGGAGTTATCCTTGACGATTATAAATCAAAATTTTCAAAATGACTTAAGTATGATTGTTGACGAACTTTAACTTCATATCCTAGGATGAGACACAAGATTCCTTGAAAAATAACATATGTGAAGGTTAGAGAATTTTTGTTGAGAATCTACGATAAACATCACGTATCATCAACTACTAACCTATACATTTACCAAATAAAAGTTGACGATTTTTAGTAAGATAGTCAATTGGGATAAACATATTTATCCAACAATCAAGTATCTTTATAAAATAATCTTAACTCTCAAAATTGGTTGCCAGTTCGTCCAAACTCGAGAAACACGAATTGATATATGTTGTATAAGATAATAAGTTAATGCAAATAATCAAATGAAATCCACCAATATTATAAGACATTTTAAATGCACTTGAAATATGTGTGCATTGTAGACACTCTTTATCAATTATTAATACATAAAGTGATAAACTCTTTGAAAATTACACATTCAACGACCATGTTAAGACCAAATCCTCGATAGTGTGTGTCAGTGTCTTAGTTTGCCATTCTAAGCCAACATATAAACAATGACCACGGGTGGAGGTTTCGTCTGAACTTCAAAAATTAACAATTGATACATATTGCATAATATACTAAATTTAAGTATCTTGATAAAAAACTAACATCTAAAATGGAAATGAGTCAAGATTAGAGAATTTAATCATCATGAGAGATACGATGTGTGTCAAGTTTGAATATGAATAAATAAATTGATCCAATAATGAAGTATCTTTACTAAGAATTTCTCACTAAAAAGTCCTAATCTTTACAACATTGGTTGAAAGTTCGTCCAAACTCGAGAATCATGAATGTGTATTGGATTTTCAAAGGATCTAAAATCCCAATCCCATTCGGGGGCTAAATATCTCTGATCACAACCATAGGTGCCAAACAAGAATGAAAAAAAGCCCCAAAAAATAAAAAAATTAACATAACCTCCGATACGATGAACAGAATAAAACCATATCGCGCTATGATCCTGCCAATCCTACCCTTATATTCTCCATAAAGGGGGCGGCGGGAGAGGATAAGAAATAAATAGTAGAATCTAAGGATTTTCCTCTTTATATATTACATATTGAACGATTCACAACCCCAATGGTTGTCTGACGTTATGGGGGTAAAAGCGAGATCTCTATTCCGGAGGTGGGAGATAGGCAAGTAACGCTTTTAATATTAGAAAACCGAAGCATCAGAAGTGAGTGTGCTATATATTGAAAATTTTCAATATAGGCATACTACAAACTCTATTATGAATCAACACAAAATATTTAGAAAATCCATAATGATTTAAACATATACATAAGTTAATTAATATAAATTATAAAATAACTCTCTCCGGCCAATGGGTCGGGTAAAAAGCTAGTTCATGTTAAGAGTTAACATGTGTTGATTGTTATTGATTAACCAATTAACCAAATCGATTAAACTTTAGTTTGGTTTATTTGGTTGTTGCATTAGTTTGGTTGTTTGGTTATGATATTTTATTGCATGGTTAATAGAATTTAGACTTATTTGGTTTGGTAATTACCATGATAACCATTTGATCCATAACGATGACGGCATCAGTGGATGAAGGCAGTGACAAAGGAGGGCAGTAAGAGAGAGATCGGCTACCGACAGGAAGAGTCGGTGATGATGGTGGGGTCGACGGTAGGGGGATGGCAGCGGTAGGGGGCGGAGGGAGGCGGAGGGTTATTAGGATGGTTGCGGCGGCAGGGGAAGGGAGGAGGTTAATGCCGATAAAGACCTAGAAGGAGTTGGATGCTCTTGATCGCCTATTGAGATAAAGGAGAGCAGAACAAATTGGTTGCTCCATATCATATTCATATCCAATCGTCAACCAACATGTACATATGAGGGGAATTGTGGTTATCTTTTAATTCCATTGAGACACACCCAAATGGGCGGAGAAGAGATCCCTTTGCGGCAGCTATGGAAGGCCGAATGGGGCTATGGGCAAAACAAATGCACAACAAACATTGACATTATTATAATAACTTAGTCCTACTCAATTAGTTACATAAAAGATATGATATACACATGGTCCCTCTTTCTTAGTTTCTCTTTATTTTTATTGCTTGACATAATTTATAGTTCAGGCGCCTAATAATTAGAAATTTAAAAGGTGTGCATTGCATGAGAAAGAACCAAAGGAATCCTCAAGTTCATTGATACCATTCATATTACACGTTGTTACAAATAAACAATAAAACAACAATATAATATTAATAAATGTGTCAATCAGCGCCCCCCAGACGGATAAAAACAATATGGAGACACAAGAGAGAGCAAAAAAAGAGACAGATGGAAGCACAAATTTAATTATTATAGTTGTAGTTTCCAATACAGATCGGAGTAAGTAGAAGTTGACCATATATGCAAGAAAGGAGAGTGGAGGGAGACACAAGATGCATATTGTCTAGCCAGTTGGAAAAATCAATTATGGATGGCGGGAAAAATGATTTTTTTTTTTTTAAAACACTATCTGACGGACACCGATTAAACAATTAATATATAATTAAGTAATGGTGAGTATAATTAATTGAGGGAACAGAAAAATGGTGATTTTGGAATCAATTAGAGAAAGTGGTCATGGGTATTGATTGATTAAAAGATCGATGATGAATTAATGATCGATCAAGTGATGAAATTAAAGACAGGGAGGTACATGCATACATGCGATTAAGGAAAGAAAGAATGACTGTATTTTTTTATCATGGATGAATGGAGATTTAAGAATTAGGGACGAGGACGGAACGCATCATGTCTTTAAATTCGAAGAAGTCGACCCGACCGTCCTGGTTGCGATCCACAGAGACAATCATCTGCTCGATCCTATCAATCTCGGTTGCCTCCGGCAAGCCCAGCTTTCGCAACACCACCTGCAGCTCGTGGGCCGAGATGTAGCCATCGCCGTCTTCATCGAACACCTTGAAGGCCTCGGAGAGGTCTGACTCCTCTTGTGATATCTCATCAGCGCACTGGTCCTGGTCTTGGTCCTGTTGCTGCCCGCCGCCGCCGAAGAGGGCATCATCTAATGATTGGTGGAGGGCGACAAAGTCCTCAAACTCAAGGCCATCGTTCCCCGACTTGATGTGGGCCTGGATCGTGGAGTCCAACTCCGAGAAGTCAGCGTCGAGGCCCAATAGGGTCAATGCCTGGCTCAGGTCATGCACTGTTATCATCCCATCCCCATTCTTGTCGAAGATGTCAAATATGCGGCGGAGACGGAGGGAGTTAAGGCTTGGTGACCTCAACCGGAACGACGACGAGCACGAGCTCTTTAACCTTGCCGTTGACGCTGGAGATGCCGACGAATCTTCCATGCCTGAAGCACCTACGTATTACAACAGACCAATATGTAGCAGCCCTCTATCTGTGCCTTTTTATTCACGCACATTTACAGATGTTAAGTTACTGTAACTAGCAAGCCAATGCCTTTTTCTTGACTATTTCCTCTTGCCAGTAAGAAAACGAGAGAGAGAGAGAGAGAGAGAGAGAGAGAGTTGGGATCAAATCAAACAGTTTCTAAATTGTTTGGTGGTTTGGGACCGCCGACGATAGGTGTGTTTTGTCGATCGAGGTGAGGATTGCAAAGGGAATGACAAGATCAAAACGTCTTGTCGAGGGCTAGAGATTAACCATGGATGACTTTTCTTCCTACCTCCCAAACAAAGTTACAAATCCCCTAACGAGTTGCGAGACTTTTTCTGTATGCATTCCATCAACGCTATTAATTTATGTATGAGATGCACCGCTTTTTACGGCCTACAAGTTATTTGACCTAAATAACTTGGGAAGGAAAATTCACCCGTCTCTCATGCTCGCTGACTTTCTTTGTTGTTGACTATTCTTTTTCCTTTCTATTAAAGTAACAAAATTATTCACCCTTATTAAAAAAATGGGAAAGGAAAATTTTCCATGTGTTCAGAGACCGGGTCCTTAACTGTTTCTCCTTATCTCACGCCCTCCTCTTCTTTTCTAATTTCGTGTTTTTTATTAGAGACAAAGAAAAAGAAACTTACACACAAAAAATAATTTGTTTTTTTTTCAAATGTATTTGTTTCTCTATAATATTAAACTATCACATAGCCTAGCATGTTTGGCAAAGAGCTCCATACTTTATTTACTAAGAAGAGGTTCAAAATTTAGTATTTAACCGGATAAAAACGTTCAGAGAACCAGTCCCTTACAGTTTACACAAAGATATGATTGCTTCACTATAATTCTGGAAATTAATGGTTTTTTAAGAATTTTATATCGCTTCTACATATTCAATACTATAATTCGATATGATATATTCTAACCAACAATATTTTGGTTGCGATTTTAGGGTTATCGTTTATTTATAAGATAGATAAAAAATTTAAATTAAGTATTAAACTATAAGTAAAATAAAAAATATTAAAATCGAAGTATCAAAACACCAAATAAGTACTTACGGAATATATATTGGGCTAGCAAACTGTTGAAAAGTTCTGTGATTTTCATATTTTAGCTTCATATATATTTTTAATTTAAAAAAATACAAAAAATCTACATAGTCTGATTGATTTTAAACCTTCATTTTGTTTGAAGTGAACATGATTCAAATCTCAATATGTCTATCTTTTTCTGTAAATAAATAAAAAATTAAGATAATTGTGAAGACAAAAATGTCATTCCTAATTTCCCTCTCATTGCAGGAAATTTGAAAAGGAAGATTAAGTTTAAAATAATTAAATCATATACCCTAAATCTATAGAACTTAAACCCTAAGATCACATAATCAACGATTCTGATTCGCCAAGATGTATACAACATACCATATACACTATATTAGGATTTAGAGAATTATGATATAGCCAACAGCCCTTCCGCTAGCGCAAGCGAGCGTTGTTCGTCCGCGCCCCTATTTCCTCTCATTTTCATATAGGTCCCAGTGCGTCTCGTCAGCCGACCAGGAGCACGACCCTCTCGGTACTTCCTTATCCTACCGAGCAAACACGACCCAGGCTCGGTAAGAATCTCGAATCCAAGTTTCCTTCGAACTCGAGTTATGTTGTAGCTAATCGATCCGCGTACGTAATAAACCGTAGCTTTGCCACAAGACGTTGGGGACTCAACGACGATCGACAAGGAGGAACGATGCCCAGAATCATCAAACAGCTTTAGGATCAATCCAAAGGTAACGAATCCGATTCTATAAGATTAACTCGAGTTATATATGTATAAGCAAGTTCTGAGTTTTTAGCGACGAAATTACAATCTTTTAGTGACGGAACGGACTCTGTAGCTAAAGTTTGCTGAATCGCTATTCGTCGCCCTAATATTTAAATTTTATCGCCCTAAACCATACTTCATTGACGTTTATACCCCTATTTTCAATTTCAATCCTCAACCCCTAGCTTCCACCGCCAGCCAAATTCCGGCCGCTACCATCGCAACCTGCCGCATCTCCCATTCCGTCGGAGAAACAGAGCTTCTTCATTGGTCTTTCATCTGTCTAATCCCAACCCAGATGAAAGACCTTTTTGTTGTTTTTCTCTTTATTTTGTCCCCAGAATTGCGTCTTGAAAATCTTTTAATTTTTCCATTAGGGAATAAAAAATTGTTCAATGAAGGTGTGTATTTACAGCCATGGAGAAGATTAGGAAGGTTGTGGCTGTGATTTCTGAGGCTCATCATTTTGGATGCCACGGTGGTTGCAGCTTGATCCTGATCACAATCAAGCGGATTGGGTTTGGAGTGCAAGGCAGTTCCTGACGGCGGAGGTGCTTTGAAGAGCGATGCTGCTCTCGTTGACATGATGAAGATTAGGGATTTCCAGATTTTTTTAAAATTTTGATTTGGTTATTTAGTAATTCTATATTAAAGTTACGATGACAAAAGTAAAATTAGCATTTAAGTGTTCAAAAGACAAAAAAAACTTCCCTAAAAAAGACAAAAAAAAACTAAGGACATTAGAGTACATTTTACATAATCAGGGCGACGAATAAGGACTTTTAGGACGACAAATAGCAATCCCCAAAGTTTGCTGGTCAATCGTTTACATGAGTCCCCCAAGTGTGCAATCTTAATCATGAGATGTTGATATGTTATAGGTTAATTTGTCAACAACAACAAAAATATTTTTAAGTTCTTGACTAAATTAGTCACATGTTTATATTAATATTTCCAACATTTAGTTCGTAGTTAATATAAAATCAAGTCTTCTGCAGACTGCAGAGATATATATAAAGTCTTGATGAAGGATTTTTTTTTTAAGATTGTGAATCAAAACACTTCCAGTCATTGTCTCACACAATTTATATAAATCATTCTCGATGCTTGACCTAACACTCAACTAGTGATTGTTGTAATTATCTTAGGACAATGAGTTGTTAAGTGAAAATGCATGATGATTAGGTAAAGTTTATTGTATTAATTTGTTTCAATTAATGAGACTTGTGCGTATTACAGTTTACGCATAGATTGACGTAGCACTTACTTGTGATTCCATGGATGTTATTGTTAGTGATAATATAGTATTAATAGCGGCATGAAAACATTGCCTATTTGATTGTTATAAACCATGTATTTTCCGAGAGGCCATTACTATATCCAACTGATCCAAGAGATCATCCCACCAAAATATAAATAACCAAATGATCACAACCCAATCCTTTTGTTTTTCTTCTTCTTACTGTGATCACAGCCCAAAATGTAGAAGCCTAATGGAAAAACGAAATAAAAACATAAGCCCAAGCCAACCATACACCTAATTCTATCTCCCGAGCAAAGCAATTAATCTTAAGTTAAAGGACAAACGTATCCTTCCTTGATACGCGGGCAAGCCTCCAATTTATAATCTAAGCCGCCCTTTCTTGGAATCTCCTTATATTAGTGTGTAGATTATATTCACAAACCTCCTCACCCTTATTCACCGGGACCGGTTACTATGACAACACCCTTTGTGTTGTTATTATAACAACACTAGTCTCTAACCAATAGGAAGCTAGCGTTGTGATGACTTTTTATTAAATGAGTTGAACTAGTGTAAAATCAAAGCAGGGGTATAATTGTCATTATGAAAAATATGTTTAAATAATAAAAAATAAAAATAAAATATTTTTTATTTCCTGTCCAAAATTTTGGTCGCCGGAATTCGGCCACTGAAAACTGGTCGACGGTCACCGGAATATGCTTTTTGTCGCCGGAATATGCTATTTTGTCATCGGAATATGCCACCATCGCCGGAATATGCTCACCGTGGTCGGAATATGCTTACCGGCGTCGGAATCTAGTCATCGGGGCCGGAATCTGCTCACTGACGGTCATGGAAGTTTGGTCAACGGTCTTCGTTGACCGGTCAACGATCAACGACCACCGGATGTTATGGTCTGCATTGTGAGATTTATGGTGTTATAAACGCGCTGCTACAGATCAGGAAATCGCCGGAATCGACAAAACAAGAATACGAAAGCAAGAATCGAAAAACACAGACACACGATTTACGTGGTTCACTAACACGATGTGTGTTAGCTACGTCCACGGGCGAGAGAGAGCCAGTTTCACTATATCGAGGAGATTACAGATTACAGCGAGACCCCCGATTACTAGTCGTAGCGGCTGATAGTCCGATTCAAGTCACATCAACAAATCTCCACCTTGACTTGAATCCTCTTCCTCTAAAATCTCTGATGTACTCTGCTCCTTCTCTCTCTCCCGCCATCAATGCCCCGTAGGGCGGAGTCACCCACTCAAGACATTCAGCAAGTCCAAGCAGTGTTGGAACTTGCCATGTGGAACCGACTTCGTGAACATATCAGCAGGATTATCCGCGGTGCCAACCTTCTTCACCTTAATCCTTCTCTGTCCTCAAGAAATGATACCTCACATCGATGTGCTTAGTCCTCTCATGGTGGACTTGATCCTTGGCCAAGCATATTGCACTCAAACTGTCGCAATACACCACTGCCTGATCATGATGTAGACCCAGATCATCAACCAGTCCCTTCAACCATATTCCCTCCTTAGCAGCTTCTGTCAACGCCATATACTCTGCCTCAGTAGTAGACAATGTCACCGCCGACTGCAGAGTTGCCTTCCAGCTCACTACAGAACTCCCAAGAGTGAATACATAACCGGTCATCGATCTCCTCGTGTCAACATCTCCAGCATAGTCCGAGTCAGAATACCCAGACACCAAGCACTCTGTATCACTTCCGAAGCTAATCCCCACATCAGGTGTACCCTTAAGGTACCGGAAGATCCTCTTCACAGCCTGTCAATGCTCCTTCCCAGGTTGTATCATAAACCTGCTGATAACACTAACAGCATGTGCAAGATCAGGTCTAGTGCATAC